CTTGTGGGAAGATCTAAAACTTCTAAAATTCATCATCCTCCATGATCATGTTTCCATATTGTTTTATTCATTGAAACTAGTGATTGTTTACTGAGCTCACAGATATTTAAAACTGCTCTTGTTCCATCAGTGGCCTCTGGAACAAACTCAACCAACGGGACCAACACAACACCAAACCTCAGCACCTCTTCTAACAACGCAACAACATCTGCTGGATTCAACACCACATCTGTTCCCAGTGCCACCAACACCACCAGTACATCTGTTTCTAGTGCCACCAACACCACCAGTACATCTGTTTCCAGTGCCACCAACACCACCAGTACATCTGTTCCCAGTGCCACCAACACCACCAGTACATCTGTTCCCAGTGCCACCAACACCACCAGTACATCTGTTCCCAGTGCCACCAACACCACCGCAGTGACGGCGAACCCAACGACCGCCTCACCGAATGCCACGACCCCGCACAACAGCTCTTCAGCAAACAACACAACCTCTACAACCGCTTCGTCCGGTAACGGCACCAACACCAATTCCTCCGCGACATCCCCCCCTTCCACAGGGAGCAACGGAACGAGCACGTCCACGAGTACGACCCACAGCACAGCGGCGTCTGCGGCCGGCAGCGGTGCGGGGGTTCCTGGGTGGGGCATAGCTCTGCTGGTCCTGGCGGCTGTGGTTCTGCTGCTGCTGCTCCTGCTGCTGATCGGACTGGTGAGTGCACACGTTTCAAAATCACATCTTTATAGACGCCCCACAATCCATCTCAGCAAATATGGAGACCAACACACTGCCTCTGGTCCGCGGTGCGTTCAGGGACTGCGCCACATTCGGTAACCGCTGCGTTGCCACTGCCAGGGTTTCAAATACCAGCATTTTATCAGAGCTGCATCTCACAGACACACCCGAAGCATCCTTTGGCTTCGTGTTTCTGGCCTCATTAGGTCGGGGCATCGTCACATTTTGAATTCAGTCGATTCAGTCGAAGTGTTTCCGTTACAGACGTGCACTTTGGTCCTGAAATCCAAACACAACAGAAGCCCAAAAGGTTGACTCTGTTCACCTGGACGTTTTCAGTGGGAGAAACGTTTCGTCACTCATCCAGGCGACTCCTTCCCCAATATTATAAACTGTACATCTGCACAATGACTGAAACTGGCAGCCCTGCATGAACAATGTCAGTTCCTTGATCAATAATATGATCAATGGTCATGAGAACCACAGAAAGTTGGGAAATGGCGGCAATCACAACCCAACTTTTCACAAAGGTGTTTTTATAGGACTCCCCACGGTCGCAACACACTGCCTCACAGTGGGTCCTCTAAGACATCGGCCTGTACAAACTTTCCGTATTGTTGAAATAATATTTTTTACATTGTAACAAGTTTGCATCTCGTCTTTTCAGACAGAATCTGGACGTTTCGTGTATCCATGACTTATTATTTCCCTTTGATCTACTGCCACTGTCACATTTACCATCATAAATGCCATTATAGTTCATTGTTAGGTGGTTGCCAGGCAACATGCCGGCGTTAAAATGTCATATATCATAACATTAAAGTTAAATTAGACGTTAAT